TTTTTTTTTTTTTTTTTTTATTTTTTTTTTATTTTTTTTTATTTTTTAAGATATGTTGTATTACATGGCTCAAATAAGGAAGGATTTGGTACACAATCGAAGTCCTAAATTTTAGGGAATGAATTAAATAACTATTCCTAAATATTAGAAGAATAATAAAATTACTATTTTATCTAGTGTAAACTTAATTTTTAAGAGTAAAAAAGGCGAACGACATTTCTTTAAGGGCTTTCGTGCTTTTAATATAGTGTGTATATATATATATATTTTATATATATATATATATATATATATATATATATATATTATTTGTTAGCCTTTTCAAAATATAATGGCATATTTCCTTATCTCCTTCCACATTGAATAAAAAAGGAAAATAACATACGGGATAAAGAATGTTGAAGTAGAATGAACTAATGATTCAATTCAGACTTACTTATACCAATACCAAAAGAATATGATACAAAAGAGAAGGAGGAAGAGGAGTTAGATCCACCCCCAACTAGTTAACCACATTGCCGTAAGCAAACATCAATGGTATGAAATTATTTCGAGGAGATTCCTTATGAAAATAGAGCTCATTGCAAAATAGAGGTTGACTTGGTTACACATACAACAAATGACATACTAAACATAACCAATTGAAATATTTGACTGTTAGGATAACCTATACTCGTGAGAGAATTTTTTGGGCAGATGCTTCAACTTCTCGCCCCATAATATTACACCTAACCAAACTTGAAATTGTGTTCATCACCATTTTAGCATCATTCAATCTATTGCCACTAGCTAATTTCTTATACAAGTAGCTATCAAATGTCATCCTTTGCACATATTCATCTCCACACAACTCCACTAATGCTTCCCTTGCTGCATTACTACCATAAAACACTTTTTGCAATATATCCAAGAACTTGAAAGTTGTGAAATACTTGTCATCCCACTTTCTTAAATACTCCCTTTTCAAATCTTCTTCACTAATCATCTTCTCTCCGCCTTCTGAGGCCTTCACTATTGCTTCCCCACAAATTCTTCCACTTTTTGCTGCAAAATATATTCCTTCGCCTGAACATTTTGTCACGTATCCTGCCGCATCTCCTACTAGAGCAACTCGTCCACGTACCCGAATCGGGCGCGGATGCTCCGGTATTGGATGCGCCTCCACTTTAATCACCCGTCCGCCGTCGATCTTTGGTTTGACTCGGGTTCTGATACCATGCTGAAATAACTTGATATTAGACTTTGAGCACACCGTGCCCGTCCCCACTGCCACGTGGTCACATTTAGGAAACACCCACGCGTAAAAATCGGGTGACACGTCATTCCCCACGTACATCTCAGCCAAATTTTCGTAATACCCCATTTTGTCCTCGGGCAATTTAATCCTCTCTTGGAAAGCAATGGCAGTAGCGTAATTTCCAGCTTTGATCGATTTAGCCACCCGGCTATTGGCTCCGTCGGCGCCGACGATTACATCGACGGCGAGCTGACGCTGGCAATTATCCATAGTGTAATGAATCACATACGGCTCGTGTGAGGATGTGGGGACCACGAGGTTAGTGACGAGTGCTTTCATGAGAGTGGCGCCGCTAGACTCGGCGCGGCGGCGGAGGAACGAGTCGAGGACTTCACGTCGGAGCATGGCGATGAACTCGTGAGGTTTTAGGGTTTTTCCGAAATCGACGACGAGATTCGACGGAGAAATGATTCTCATCTGAGTGACGCGCCGATCGATGAGGTGATAAGGTATTGAGAACTCGTCGAGCATGCAAAGTGGAATGGCGCCGCCGCATGGCTTGGCCGAAGCTGGGCTGCGTTCGAAGAGGAAAGTTTCGACTCCGCCGCTGGCTAAACCTTCTGCAGCTGAAGATCCAGCTGGGCCGCCGCCTATAACGGCTGCTCGAAGCTTGGAGACAACTGGATTTATGGGCTTCTGTTTGAAGTAATGGCATTGCTTGTGTGGGTTTTGGGTTTTGAGTGAAACTGGAAGGCAGTGAAGAGGGTGAAGAAGGTGTATCTGGGCGGCCATTTTTGACTAAAAGGGTTTTAAGGGATTAATGGTTTGGTAGGTTATAATGAGATTAAATATAATTTAGCTAAAGATGCTAAAGATAGTGTAAAGTTCTGAACTTTGGTTTATTTTAATGTTTGGGGTTTTGTTTAAATCAGTTTAGCAGCTGTAGTTGGTGGAAAGGTTGGGTAATTTTGTAAATACAAACAAGTTTGATTGTTTAAAATTTAAATCAATTGGTATATGTGTACTTATTATATTTATTCTCAGTGAAGAATCATACTTGATGTTTGCAATATTTTTGTTGTTTTTGAAGTAGAAAATGGTAGAATCTTAAGAGTTGGGTAGTGACTGATGTCTCAATAGAGTGAGAATAAGACTTCTTGTTGCTGTCTTCTTCAATTGAGGATTGATTGCTCATAGTTTTTTAGTATGTCAATGTCATGCTGCCTTCATTTTTAAAAAGTAGAGATATTCTTAAAAGAAAGTGACTGGCTTTGGTACAACAGAATGAGATTGCTCTTTCTTGCTTTCTCCTCCCAACTAGGTTGCAGAGGCTTTCTTTACACGTTATTTTGCTTTATATGTTAATGATATTGAAGTGGAGTTTCGGCTTTGGGGTGTGATGCTATTTGCTGTAGTATGTTAGTGATGTTATAAGTAGACTTTTTATGGGAAATCTTATTCTGTTGCTTGATCATTGCACATGTATTTAGTTGAATATCTGTTTTTATTTTGATGGTCCTCTTCTCTTGCTTTTCCTGTAAAAGAAATGCATATTCAGGTCTCTGAGAGAATTAAGGAGACCACTGTCTGGTATAAACATATATAATTCTCTGGGAAGAAGCTGCCTTTAGCAACAAATTTGGAAGAGGTAAGATCGTTGCCTTCAAGTTTCTTACTGTCTATCATGCTTCCCTTCTGAATCTTGTTCTGCTAAAAGCATTGATGAACAGTCGATACATTTGATTATCTTGCACGCTGTACTGCTAATAATACAGAGTGGCTTTTATACTAGCGAAAGTGGCAAATAAGATTTTTAGCAGCAATTGAAGCTATCAAATGACTGAGAATTGCTTCATATACCAATATGGTATAACAAATATGATAATTAAAATGTGTGGAGCTTCGCGCTATTGCAGGAACTTCCATTTAGAGTTTGCAGGACCTACGATAATAATGTTGTTAGTTGTTAGTCAATAGAAGCCACTAATTAAAAAAAAAAGCTACTAATTCTTCATTGTAAATTCTCTATGGTGGTTCTTGATTTAGACTTTTGAGTATCCTTGCAATGATCAAGCCAGTGGATTTTAATGTTGAGGTCTGAACTTTCTAGACCACTATGAGGTTTTCTACATGCACAATCAAATGCATTAGCAAAAAAGGTGCTTCCACTTGCTCACTTTTGAAAATTCAGTATCCATAAGTTTAAGGTAGCAAGTGAACTTAGTCCCCTAAACACCATAGAGAAACATGGAATGCTTTATACTGGACGATAGGGCAATTAACTTTGTTTACTAGCTCCTTTTTCTTCTTTTCCTTTGCAAGAAGAATTTCGCATTCAACCAATGAAGCTCTCCTAGCTTGCTTATATAAAGAACTCAGAACTCAACTCGCATATGAGATGGGACATTGATGGATTCTCATTTGTATTTATAGAAATATCCAAGACAATTGGGGTTGAAATGAATGAATATGTGATGCCATTTGGCGAAATCTTGGTTTGTGATTGGGGAAATGATACTGTTACTGCCTTTTATTTTGAATTATATATTGGACGTTATACATTAATTTCAAAAATTGTTCTAGTTAAAAGTAAATAAAAGCCATCAACAGCTAGGCATAAGTTTACAACAATCAAGTACATCCAATGAATGAAATTGTATCATAGGTTTCTTTACACAAATATTATATCAAATAGACACGGATATCACACCATTGTATACCTTGAAAACTCATTCATTGAACAGATGATGTTCCTTTGTACATATATGTTTTCTCATCCCTATGTGATCTAACAAGTGGCACCTGTTTAATTCACGAAACGGAAACACCATTTCTTATGTCACTGATGGCTCGAAAATGCTATTTAGCAAAATGTAGCTGGTTATCGGACCTCTAAAAATTTGTGGGGCGAAACACATAGAAATTCCTTGTTTCTTTCTTTTTTCCGTGGTTTGCATGTGTTTTTTTTTTTTTTTGTGGTGTGTGTGGGTGGGGGGGTGGGGATAGGAGAACAGAAATAAGAAGCGAGCAGCACTATCAGTAGATGCTGATCAAGCTTTAAATGCCTCGAGCTTCATTGATTATTGTGATTCTCCAACAACGCTTAGGATACTATATGTCAACTTGTATGTTGTATCATGTATGGTCCAAATATCAATATATGCAGCTTCCATTGGTACAAAGTTCATCAGTCATTAATTACTTGTGTCAGATTATTAAAATAGATGTTATTGCCTCGTAACTAATTAATTGATTTCTTTAGTTAAACGTGAGGTGACCTCCGCAAATTGATCAAAGTTTCCTTCCTTGAGATTTGATTGTATTGAAATGATCCTTTTGGTAGTCAACGAGAAAATGTTCAAGAGAAACTGATCTCACACAAACTATTAGCATAGATATAACATTAGCTTGTGGAATTAAAGCATCCCAGCTATTACAATCTATAATTTTCACTCTAATCAATCATCTGCAGGCACTGATCCGATCCCAATTTGTAAAGGAGCCATCTGACTCAAAGTTGTGGTCCTTAATGCTCCTGGTTGATTTTATCGGACCAGGTGTACCCTTTAAGCATGGTGATCTTTGTGAGAACCCAGTAACACTTCCAATCCTACTTGCTACTGTGACATCACTGTTGATAGAAGATATGGGAGATAGCTTGTACTTATAGGGAGAATTAATCTCAGAGTAAACATCAGTGTTGAGAGGTCTTAGCCTTGGTGAGCTCATTGATCTTGCTTTTGCTCTTGCAGATTCAGTGGCTGCCATGTATGTTGGAAGAGCAGGAGAGCCAATGAAAGAATTATCATCTCCGCTCGAGTGCTGCCTTCTGTGGTGAAATGATCTTCTTGGAACATATATTGGAGAAACCAATTCTTGATCTGTATGGTATTGTTTTGGTAAAGTCCTTGGTTTAATTTCCTTTCTCTCAAATTCCTCTTTGTTTCTTGCTGAGAAAAGTGTATCCAAGTTTTTAAGGTCATCTCTTTTAGCCAGCTGAGCATCTACCCATTGTTCTAACCAGTATTGGCGTCTTCCATTTATTTCTGTCTCTGTTGACCTCTGCAAGTAGAATACCCCTTGCGAAATAAATCATAGTCTGTGATAAATGCGATCAGGATTTGAGAAATCAAACTATAAGATACTTACTCGATGGCTTAACCAGTATTCTCTTATACGTTCTCTCTTGATAGCAGCCTCTCTTTTGCTTGAGAACAACTTGTTTGTCTCTTCCTTAGATAAAAATCGATTGTCCCACCTTCTCTGGCTGTTTAGATCAATCTGCAAATTAAAAGAATTGACTAAGTTATTATACCTTAAGCTAGAGATGATTATCTAGTAAATACAACTCTCATCACCATAGAGATTTGGTTCTACACTGCAGTTTTTTTTTTCTTCGGCAGAATTTCTGAAAGTGATCAGATTATAGTTAGTTTGTAAAATGTTAGGTCACCATGTTATTCGTCATACCTTTATATCTTTCTCTCCCACATCCAGCAACGTGTTTTCTTGACAATGCACCGTGGTTTTCACCAGATCACATCTCTTTGCACAGACTTCTGATTGTATGTTTACAATTGACTGCAAGGACTTAAGGGTAGCCATAGCCTGACGTCGAACAGCCCTACCGCGAACAATTGCCTGAAGCCTGACTAGTGCCTTTAGTGCTCTCAAAGCTTTTCTTGCCTGAAATTGAATTCATTAGTGAAAAAAAATATTTCCCTGTGATTGCAGGAGGTTTAGAAGACATGGCCGGATTTAGTAGATTGAGGAAATCAGATGATTACGAAGAAAAACATACAAGATAACCGCGAAAAGCTGTCTGAATTTTGACGGCAGCAAGATGTTCAATCTTTCTCTCATAAAGGTAGAAGTACTGTGGCACTTGGTCATGAAGAGTCAATTTTGACAGTCCAAGAGCTTCATCTTTAGGCTCATGGATAGATTCAGTGCCTTCTTTTAAGGAAGCCATATCAGCTTCAACCTCTGGTGTTTTAGCAGCTGCATTAGCTTCAGCAATTCTTTCAACATCAACATTTATAGTAGGCTTACTCTGCTTCTCTTCTGCTTTCTGGCGTCTCCTTTCCCTTGGCGGTGACAATGCCAAGGACGCCTCCAATCTCCTGATCTTTAGCCTTGCAAATACCCATCTCTTCCTCTTTGCCTATTCATAGAGTAGCTGTGCAGTGTCAATAAAACTTGGATACACAGGTACAACATTGTCAAAAATCACCTATGTTCAGTGGCAAATGTATAGTTTAAGAGATGAGTTCAATCGGAAGCACAGTTTTTTATTTAGAGCATAGATATCTCTATGTGAAAACACTGAAACTTAGTATGACTATTATGTTTTGAACCCATATTTTCAATGTTAGAACCTTGAATTCATAACCATTAAATCCTGAATCCGCCCTGTGTGAAACTAGGAGGAATGGTATGGTTTCTTAATACTTTCAGAATATGCTAAGGATCTGCTAGAGATTGAATGTATCAGTGTTGATCATATAAGTAGAATCATTTACCTTCTCTAATCTTGATTCAGACTCTGAAACGAAAATCCTCTTCAGCAAGTTGAACCAGCTCTTCTTCTTTGCCATAGCTACAATTACCTCAAGTGGAACTTATAAAGCTAATTTGAACTTATGGGGTAGCAAAGGAAAACCAAGAATGACACTTAAGTGCAGCAAGAAGATCTTTTTGGGAGTAATTTAAACATAAGAATACAAAAAAGGAAGTTTCAGTGATTAGAATAGCCGATCTATTGGTATCAGTACCCTTGGGAATTGAAGCATATTTTCAGGAGGATTTGCTATAATTAGTAAGTAGCCTACACAAAAGATATCCTAGATTTCCTCATTCATTTCTAAAAATAACCAAAATCTTCTGAAGTAAGCAACTATAATGAACTAGAAACTCAGTCATAAGTACCCCACCAAAAAAAAAATAAAAGAAATAAATAAGTGAAGCTTTGGTTATCAATGATTCAGATGGAAACAGTGGAAATAAAGACTCTAGAATAAGGTGTATATAATCAACATGGGTATCATTTTTCTCTATTCAATAATTCACATTTCTTTTCTCATCTTCTTGATGATGAGTTTCTTTTGTTTCAACATGTGGGTGTTCCACCATTTAGGGTGTTTGGATGAGACCCCTAATCCTAATAAAAAGTTTCGGGTTTGAACCCTAAGAATAGAAAAACTCCTGGTAGAGATAGCTTTTTTTTATTTATAAATTAACCGGATCAGTAGACTTCATATATTAGGTGATTTAACTAAAAAGAGAAAACACATGTGGGCCTTTTTAAGTAATAGAACTGTGGAGAGGAGTTAGGGGGAGGTGTCTTTCACATTGATGGAGGGAAACCTGATGGAGTATGAATTATGAGAATCTTTATGAGGTTATGGGGTATGAGTTTCTTTTCCAGCTGCTATTTTGTTTTCTTCAACTACAATTGACATGTTCGAATGTTTGTTGTACATCCTGACACTACCACTTAGGTCAGTGGGGTACAGTACAGATACCAAACCTGATCAAATGTTTCTTCATTCATTACAGGAAGAGCTAGGGCTTTTTTTTTTTTTTTTTTTTTTTTTTTTAATTTTTAATAGAAGCTTTTTTTTTTTAATTTTTAATTTTTATATGGATTTCTCTGTATTGAAGGGGAGTCTTGGAGCAACGGTAAAGTTGTTTCCGTGTGATCTATGATTCATGAGTTCGAATCGTGGAATCAATTAGTGATACTTGTATTAGGGTATATTGCCCACGTTACACTCCCTTGGGATTTGTCCTTTCCCAAAACTTGCATCAACGCAAATATTTTATGCACTGACTGGAATGCAGGGGCGGATTTAGAGGGGCGGAAGGAGGTTCACCCGAACCCTCTTCGCCGAAAAATTACACTGTGCATATAAGGCAAAATTTATTTTTTACCTCTATATATTAAATTTTGAACCCTATTAAACATTGCAGAAGTGTAGTTTAGTGGTCAAGGGGGTTCAAAACCTTCATAAGGTCATAGGTTCAATTCCCACTATCTACAAAAATTTTTTTGAACCCCCTTCGTGGAGATCCTGCCTCCACCACTGCTGGAATGCACTGTTTTTTTTTGAAGTATAAGATGAGGGTACTGAAAGAGATTTGAAGACCTTATGGGGTTAAAATAGCAATCAAGAAAAACATGTGGTATGGACTACGGACCATGTTCTTATTTTCGAAAAATATCAGACAATAATAGTACAATTAATTGCTACTTTTTCTTCACTTTGTTTGGGAAGTGGGCAGAGGAAAGGAATGGAAGAGAAAACGGAAAGTGGGTATATTAATGAGAAGGCATTTTCTTGCCTAGAAGAATGTCATTTTTCTCTTCCTTCCCCAAGCTAAAGAAACTTTACTCAATCGTCACAGCTAATTATTTTTGTAGCCAATTTTACACTATCATCATAAAAGCAAACAAAGGAAAATACTGTATTGAGAGCATATTATATGCACTCTTTTTTAAGCCCATACCATGTTTTCACAAAATAGGTCCATAATCACTTTTATATCTCCAATGTTGTGATTACCTCCTATGGCTAGCTAATCCAAAGGATGATGTCAAAATCTGCAATAAAATTTTATTAAATGTTCAAAATCTTCTTTAGAGAAAGAGTGAATTGGAGTTCTTTTTTCATATTTTTTTTTAACTGTAAATTGCAGTAAAGGCCTGCTCGGTAGACTTGTGATAACTGTTTACCCATAAAACGGTACAGATGAATTTATACGTGGTTTATAGACAAATGAATTATTTTGATTCAAAATAATAGATGAATTAAACAGAAATATTAGACTTAGCCCTAAAATTGAAATAGACGGCTGATATTTTGTTCCGAGCGTAGAGCTACCGGGAGCAATAAGAACAATACAAATAAGCAAGAAAGTAAAATGTTATTGAGCTTTTGATAGAATATAGTGTATGCTTGTCAGAAAATTCGAGTCCCTTACAATGATAATAAAGCTCACTATTTATAACTGCATCTAGGGAACACGGTCCTAGGATTAAGCTCCTCTATAATGTAAATTATGAGGGCCATTGAAGCATGTGTAATGGTGGATAGTGAATATCATATTCTCTGTAACGGATCATGCACTTAATGCTGTAGAATATTCTTCATTCAACGTTACCGGATAGCGGCATTAATTTTGTCATTATGAATATCATTCTCTCCGATGACAAGCGATATCATTGCCTTCGGGTTTAGCTATCTTCTGCCTTCGGTTCCACATGTCGCTTCCTCATGATGAACATATTGTACCCCATACAATAACTTTTTTCATGAAATGAATTATTACTACTATGATTCTGATCATTTCTCAATTAGTCTGAAATAGTCATAGTTGTTGTTGATGTACTATGATGATTCTGATAAGTGACACTGATGTTCTGCCTATCCTTAATGCAAAAGTAGTTTTGATGTGCTACCTTAATACAAATACTTTAAGATATGATACACCACTAATAATGCATACTTATTTTTAATTAAAAGAAGATTATTCCTAGGATATCCAAAATCAAAGGAAGAGAGAAGGTTGGTGTTTATGACTAGTCCCCTCTTGCATACGAGAAAGATCTAGCTTATAAGTTACGAGTTCACGTAAATTTACTGTTTTTTGCTGAAACCTTATATATATATATGATTGTGAACTTATTTATTATTATATATTAACTTGAGATTGCTACGAGCATTCGTAATAAGTTTGACATGTAGATGTGACCTACTATAGTACTAGTGAGTAGAGATATGTTTGATGAATATGCAAAGCATTCTTTCTTTATTCAATGTAACTATTATTACAATCGCTTTTTGTTTTTGGAGGCATTATTGAAGGTGGTAGGGTAGTGGTAATGTGCAACAAGATAGAGAATGTGAAGAAGAAAACAGAGCAGCCTTATAAGGAATACACAGCCTGTTATTGGCCCCATCGTCTTGCCCAACATATGCCAACTTCTACTCAATTCAGTAGACAGTAAATTAATGGCTTATCAAAAAAAGAAAAAGAAAATCATAAATAAATGAGGGCATTAAGGTTTATATTTTAGGGGATAACATGTGCTAATATATGTGTCCGGGCAGGTCGGTTTGAGATAATATACTGAATTAGGTATTAGTGGGCATGTGCTTAGTAGTGGCTCAACTTAAGCTTACTCAGACTGGGTGGTTTAGCACAAATACGATAATTTCGTGGTGTTATTTTCCTTTTATTTTCGTTGAAGGAATTTGTGCAAAAATAGTTTGGTACTAGTATACAAATTTTGCCCATATTGTTAAAACTTGTCTTGTCCAAAATTAATGTCCGGCGAGTTATAACTTTAAGGCAAATTGTTTATAAAGTTTTGACGGATGGCCAAAACTCGTTATAACTACAAGCATAACTTATACAAATTGTTTACAAGTTCTGTCGGTTTAAACATCGGCTCTTAAAAAGAAAACCTGGTGAAATTTCTTCACTTGGATTCCACGCCTCTATATATGAGCTTCAGTATTGGAAGTCCCAAACGAGGCAGGGATTGGCATTCGATTGGAGCAAATTACGGGATAAGAAGGAAATTGCGACTAACGAGAAAGAGGGAATGAATGTACACAAAAACAAAATGGGCACAATTTTGGAATAATATACATTAGAAATATGATAACACTTACTCCCTTCGATCCAAAATAAGTAATTTTTTCAAATTTCAAGAATGAATTAATTATTTTTTCCTACATTATACTTGGGGTAAATAGGGTTGGAATATGTGTTAGGAGTGTTTATGTGAGATAGTAAAGGTTAATATGGTCAATTCCATTGCTAATTAATGCTAAAAGGTGGATTTCTTAATCTGTGTGAAAACATCCAAAAAATCACTTATTTTGGACTGGAGGGAGTAATAAATATGAAGCAAAAGTAGCACTGTACTTAATTTTCATGTAAATTATCATCATATGTGAATTCAGGAAAAAGGAAAAAAAAAGGAAGTCCGGTGCACAAAGCATCACGTATTCACGCAGGGTCCAGAGAAGGTTCCAACCAAGGGTATGATGTAGACAGCTTAACCTGACGCAAGCATTAATGACTGATTCCACAACTTGAACCCGTAGCCTATAAGGTCACACGTAGATAATTTTTACCGTACTCCAAGGCTCTCTTTCTAGGTGGAATTCAAGATTTGGATTTTATTAGTTTGGATTCGATATGTGCCACGTTTCGTCTAATTTATTGAGTTTAAAATTTACTACTTGTACTTATTTGGTACTCCCTTCTTCTGTATTCATGTGGCACTGTTGAGATGTTGAGAGTCAAACATTTTATTTTAACTGTTATTTTTTCATGCCTTTTAAATATTTTAAATTGTTAGTTACTATTGCTTATAATAATTTTTAAATATGTAAAATTTTATTTAAAAAACTTAAAAATTTTATGTCCAAATTTATCGTCAAAATTAAGAAGTTTGAATCTTAAAATTCGAGCAGTGCCACATACATTGAAACGAAAAGAGTGAGTTTCTTTAACACATAAAATATCTACACCAAAGTTATTGGATTTGGGCGACCCATATTTCCTTCACTAGATTTTCCCCTGATTATCACCTATATCATCAAAAGCAGTTTTGAAAATATGGTCAGAAACGTCTTGACCTAAAATATATTTGAGCTTTCAAAAACAAAAAGTTGGACAGAGATTTTGAGGAGGGAGGGAGTAGCATCAGACCAAAAACAAAGATAAGCAGTATTTTCTTTTGGTAAGTAAGGATTTTATTTATCAAGTATAATTATGTACAAACTAGCAGATAATAGTATTTCCTTTTAGCATAGCTTCGGCTGGACATGAAGCCCTAGTTTGAAGCTACCTAATACTCACTACCATTCTACTATACTCCTCGCATTACACTTAGGCCATATCAGGGTACCAGTTCATCCGTTTCATTACTCTCATTAGCCTAGGAAAGCAACTAGCCCTCACATGGATTTCCTGAATAATCAGTCGAGTTACATCTTTGACCGATCTCTTCTTCTTCTGGAAAATGACACAATTTCTTTCATACAAGACATGGTAAATCTTTGCTGCAAAGGTCATTCTACATACTGCAGCCCCAACACTCTTGCTTTTCGCAAACTGCTCTATCCATTGAATATCTTGTCATTTTTTCTTCATTCTCTGTATTCCTTGCCAGTACAACAGTGATGTCGCCCAAGTTCACACCTCAAATTGGGGTTGTGAAGTG